TTTTTTTTTTTTTTTTTAGCAATTTAAGACATACAAACACATATTTGATTACTTTTTCAATGGCAGCTGCTTTAAAAAATGATCCTTCAAAGTTTTCATTTTTTATTTCTTACCTTAATATAACGTATTCAATTAGTCTTTTGAACTGCTAAAAAAAGTGCATTAATGAGTAATTTGTTTAGTGCGCTCTGTAAGACTGTTTCAACTTTTCATCACCAAGAAAATTATTAGTTAAAACAAGTGATCTATTCTTTAAGTTATTAGCTCACCATTTTAATCTTCTTCTTCGTTTTGTTTTACACCACAAAATATTTTGCTGTTCAATGAACTTTTATGTGTGTTTTTGAATTGACAATTTAGGCATTTCAAAACTTTAGAAAAGCAATTATTGCACAGCAGTCTACATGCAAACTAAAATTTTTACTTGAAACATGAAACATTTTCTGACTAACTGATTTTTTAGAAAACAGAAGGTTTGACAACTACATCCATTTTACATAGTTTATACAAATTGAAAAAAAATTTTTATAGAATAATATCAGCTATAAGACCTGTAACCAAATTTTGTTTACAGCTACTGAAACATATATTTATTAGATTGAAAAAACTTTTACAGCAGTTTCTTCATAGAAACCAAGAAAAAAAAAGGAGAGACAGAAGGTTTCCATATTTTATCACCAGTGTTTTTTTTTTCTACTGATAGCTGTTTATTGCTGCCAAAAAACATTGAGGAAACAAAAAATTTAAAGGTTAGATTATTTTGAAGCCAAGAAAAACTTTTTTTTTTCCCAAGAATAATCAGCTTGAAGTTTTTTGCTCTGCACTTATTTATTCAACTGCTTTTTTTTTTCCCACATTATAGTAGTCTAAATACTGATTTTTTGACTAATAATCTTGGTATTTTTTTCACCTAATAATGTTTCAAGAATTTGTTGATATTAATAAGCCTTTACTGGTTTAAACGCTGAATTGTTAATGAATATCTAGCAGTTATTAATATTGCTCTTAGTTTGTTCTTGTTTTGGAAAACAGTTTTGACGATACTAAGTCAGGTGCGATCACTGTGCTTGAAACTTTTTTCACTTGTCATTTAAACTAATCTTTTGCACAATTTATTCAGTTTTTTTTATAAAATGAAACAACTTTTTTTGCCATTATTGTGCAGTAAATGTTTGTAAAATTTTCAAAACAACTGCAAAAAGGAAAGACTAATTGATAGCATAAAACGATGTTGATGTCAAGTAAAAAATCAACAAATTGTCAACAACTAAGAACGTTACAGTTTCAAAAATTCACCTTCTATAATATTTTTAGCTGTGATAATCGAAAAAAAAAAAAAAAAAAAA